GAGTTCTCCTGGAAGCCCTAAAGTGCTACACACGTTATTTGAATTTCTCCCATAAGGCCTTAACAAACTTCTATGTCTCGGAAATTATTTTTCTTATAAGAAAACAAACTCCTTATTTTTCTTATAAGAATTCTAAAATCTGTGACTGAAAAAAAAATTTACCTGAAAACCCCGACACGCTACAGGGGAATATTGGAACCTGAAAAACCCCGACACGCTACAGGGGAATTTCTAAATTCACCTGAAAACCCTGACACGCTACAGGGGAATTTTCTCCCAGAAAAAAAAATTCCCCTGTGGCGTGTCAACCCTACTACTCCCCACCACCACCACCACCTGGCTAACCTGCCCCCACCACCACCACCACCACCACCACCACCACCACCACCTGGCTAACCTGCCCCCACCACCACCACCACCACCACCACCACCACCACCACCACCACCACCACCACCTGGCTAACCTGCCCCCACCACCACCACCACCACATGGCTATCCTGCCCCCACCACCACCACCACCACCACCTGGCTAACCTGCCCCAACCACCACCACCACCACATGGCTAACCTGCCCCCACCACCACCACCACCACCACCTGGCTAATCTGCCCACACCACCACCACCACCACCTGGCTAACCTGCCCCCACCACCACCACCACCACCACCACCACCTGGCTAACCTGCCCCCACCACCACCATCACCACCACCTAGGTAACCTGCCCCCACCACCACCACCACCACCTGGCTAACCTGCCCCCACCACCAACACCACCACCACCACCACCTGGATAACCTGCCCCCACCACCACCACCACCACCACCACCACCACCACCTGGCTAACCTGCCCCCACCACCACCACCTGGCTAACCTGCCCCCCCCCACCACCACCACCACCTGGCTAACGTGCCCCCCACCACCACCACCACCTGGCTAACCTGCCCCCACCACCACCACCACCACCACCTGGCTAACCTGCCCCCACCACCACCACCACCACCTGGCTAACCTGCCCCTTCACCACCACCACCTGGCTAACCTGCCCCCCAACCACCACCACCACCTGGCTAACCTGCCCCCTCACCACCACCACCACCACCTGGCTAACCTGCTCCCCACCACCACCACCACCTGGCTAACCTACCCCCACCACCACCACCACCACCACCTGGCTTACCTGCCACCACCACCACCACCACGACCACCTGGCTAAGCTGCCCCCACCACCACCACCAGCTGGCTAACCTGTCCCCACCACCACCACCACCACCACCTGGCTAACCTGCCCCCACCACCACCACCACCACCTGGCTAACCTACCCCCACCACCTGGCTAACCTACCCCCACCACCTGGCTAACCTGCCCCCACCTCCACCACCTGGCTAACCGGCCCCCACCACCACCACCTGGCTAACCTTCCCCCACCACCACCACCACCTGGCTAACCTGCCTCCACCACCACCTGGGTAACCTGCCCCCACCACCACCTGGCTAACCTGCCCCCACCACCACCACCACCTTGCTAAGCTGCCCGCCCCCCACCACCACAACCTGGCTAACCTGCCCGCCCCCCACCACCACCACCTGGCTAACCTACCCTCCCACCACCACCACCTGGCTAACCTGTCCCCCCACCACCACCACCTCCGCCACTACCTGGCTAACCTGCCCTTCCCCCCCCCCCACCTCCACCTGGCTAACCTGCCCCCCCACCAACACCACCTGGATAACCTGCCCCCACCACCACCACCACAACCACCACCACCACCTGCCCCCACCACCACCACCACCACCTGGCTAACCTGGCCCCCCCACCACCACCACCTGGCTAACCTGCCCCCACCACCACCACTACCACCACCACCACCTGCCCCCACCACCACCACCACCACCACCTGGCTAACCTGGCCCCCCCCACCACCACCACCACCTGGCTAACCTGGCCTTCCCACCACCACCACCTGGCTAACCTGCCCCCACCACCACCACCACCTGGCTTACCTGCCCCCACCACCACCACCACCTGGCTAACCTGCCCCTCCACCACCTGGCTAACCTGCCCCTCTCCCCCACCACTACCTGGCTAACCTGCCCCCCCACCACCACCACCTGGCTAATCTGTCCCCCCCCACCACCACCACCTGGCTAACCTGCCCCCCCCACCACCACCACCTGGCTAACCTGCCCCCACCACCACCAACACCACCACCACCACCTGCCCCCACCACCACCACCACCACCTGGCTAACCTGCCCCCCCACCACCTCCACCTGGCTAACCTGGCCCCCCACCACCAACACCTGGCTAACCTGCCCCCCCACCACCACCACCTGGCTAACCTGTCCCCCCCCACCACCACCACCACCTGGCTAACCTAACCCAACACCATCACCACCACCTGGCTAACCTGTCCCCCACCACCACCACCACCACCTGGCTGACCTGCCCCCACCACCATCACCACCACCTGGCTAACCTGCCCCCACCACCACCACCACCACCACCTGGCTAACCTGCCCCCACCACCACCACTACCACCACCTGGCTAACCTGCCCCCACCACCACCACCTGGCTAACCTGCCCCCACCACCACCACCACCACCACCACCACCACCACCACCACCACCTGGCTAACCTGCCCCACCACCACCACCACCTCCTGGCTATCCTGCCCCCACCACCACCACCACCACCACCTGGCTAACCTGCCCCCACCACCACCACCACCACCTGGCTAACCTGCCCCCCACCACCACCACCACCTGGCTAACGTGCCCCCACCACCACCTGGCTAACCTGCCCCCACCACCACCACCACCACCACCACCTGGCTAACCTGCCCCCACTACCACCACCACCACCACCACCACCTGGCTAACCTGCCCCCACCACCACCACCACCACCTGGCTAACCTGCCCTCCCCACCACCACCACCACCACCTGGCTAACCTGCCCCCACCACCACCACCACCACCACCACCACCACCACCTGGCTATCCTGCCCCCACCACCACCACCACCTGGCTAACCTGCCCCCACCACCACCACCACCACCACCTGGCTAACCTGCCCCCCCCCCACCACCACCACCTGGCTAACCTGCCCCCACCACCACCACCACCACCACCTGGCTATCCTGCCTTTACCACCCCCACCACCACCACCTGGCTAACCTGGCCTTCCCACCACCACCACCTGGCTAACCTGCCCCCACCACCACCACCACCTGGCTTACCTGCCCCCACCACCACCACCACCTGGCTAACCTGCCCCTCCACCACCTGGCTAACCTGCCCCTCTCCCCCACCACTACCTGGCTAACCTGCCCCCCCCCCACCACCACCACCTGGCTAATCTGTCCCCCCCCACCACCACCACCACCACCTGGCTAACCTGCCCCCCCCCCACCACCACCACCTGGCTAACCTGCCCCCACCACCACCACCACCACCACCTGGCTATCCTGCCTTTACCACCCCCACCACCACCACCTGGCTAACCTGGCCTTCCCACCACCACCACCTGGCTAACCTGCCCCACCAACACCACCACCACCACCTGCCCCCACCACCACCACCTGGCTAACCTGCCCCCCCACCACCTCCACCTGGCTAACCTGGCCCCCCCACCACCAACACCTGGCTAACCTGCCCCCCCACCACCACCACCTGGCTAACCTGCCCCCACCACCACCACCACCACCACCACCTGGCTAACCTGCCCCCACTACCACCACCACCACCACCACCACCTGGCTAACCTGCCCCCACCACCACCACCACCACCTGGCTAACCTGCCCCCACCACCACCACCACCTGGCTAACCTGCCCTCCCCACCACCACCACCACCACCTGGCTAACCTGCCCCCACCACCACCACCACCACCACCACCTGGCTATCCTGCCCCCACCACCACCACCACCTGGCTAACCTGCCCCCACCACCACCACCACCACCACCTGGCTAACCTGCCCCCCCCCACCACCACCACCTGGCTAACCTGCCCCCACCACCACCACCACCACCACCTGGCTATCCTGCCCTTACCACCCCCACCACCACCACCTGGCTAACCTGGCCTTCCCACCACCACCACCTGGCTAACCTGCCCCCACCACCACCACCACCTGGCTTACCTGCCCCCACCACCACCACCACCTGGCTAACCTGCCCCTCCGCCACCTGGCTAACCTGCCCCTCTCCCCCACCACTACCTGGCTAACCTGCCCCCCCACCACCACCACCTGGCTAATCTGTCCCCCCCCACCACCACCACCTGGCTAACCTGCCCCCCCCACCACCACCACCTGGCTAACCTGCCCCCACCACCACCAACACCACCACCACCACCTGCCCCCACCACCACCACCACCACCTGGCTAACCTGCCCCCCCACCACCTCCACCTGGCTAACCTGGCCCCCCCACCACCAACACCTGGCTAACCTGCCCCCCCCACCACCACCACCTGGCTAACCTGTCCCCCCCCCACCACCACCACCACCTGGCTAACCTAACCCAACACCATCACCACCACCTGGCTAACCTGTCCCCCACCACCACCACCACCACCTGGCTGACCTGCCCCCACCACCATCACCACCACCTGGCTAACCTGCCCCCACCACCACCACCACCACCACCTGGCTAACCTGCCCCCACCACCACCACTACCACCACCTGGCTAACCTGCCCCCACCACCACCACCACCACCACCACCTGGCTAACCTGCCCCCCTTTCACCACCACCACCTGGCTAACCTGCTCCCCCCACCACCACCACCTTGCTAACCTGCCCCCCCACCACCACCTGGCTAACCTGCCCCCCTTTCACCACCACCACCTGGCTAACCTGCTCCTCCCTCACCACCACCACCTGGCTAACCTGCCAACCACCACCACCACCACCTGGCTAACCTGCCCCTCTTTCACCACCACCACTTGGCTAACCTGCTCCCCCCTACCACCTGGCTAACCTTCCCCCCCCCACAGGGGTGGTGACCGAGGGGTACTGGGACGTGGTTGTGCACTACGCCAAGGCCAGCCCCAACAACCTCCTGATGGAGACCACAGTGACCAACCGCAGCCCCAACACGGAGACCATCCACGTCCTGCCCACACTGTGGTAGGTGATGCCCACACTGTGGTAGGTGATGCCCACACTGTGGTAGGTGATGCCCACACTGTGGTAGGTGATGCCCACACTGTGGTAGGTGGTGCCCACACTGTGGTAGGTGATGCCCACACTGTGGTGGGTGATGCCCACACTGTGGTAGGTGATGCCCACACTGTGGTAGGTGATGCCCACACTGTGGTAGGTGATGCCCACACTGTGGTGGGTGATGCCCACACTGTGGTAGGTGATGCCCACACTGTGGTGGGTGATGCCCACACTGTGGTAGGTGATGCCCACACTGTGGTGGGTGATGCCCACACTGTGGTAGGTGATGCCCACACTGTGGTAGGTGATGCCCACACTGTGGTAGGTGATGCCCACACTGTGGTGGGTGATGCCCACACTGTGGTAGGTGATGCCCACACTGTGGTAGGTGATGCCCACACTGTGGTAGGTGATGCCCACACTGTGGTAGGTGATGCCCACACTGTGCTGGGTGATGCCCACACTGTGGTAGGTGATGCCCACACTGTGGTAGGTGGTGCCCACACTGTGGTGGGTGATGTCCACACTGTGGTGGGTGATGTCCACACTGTGGTGGGTGATGCCCACACTGTGGTAGGTGGTGCCCACACTGTGGTAGGTGGTGCCCACACTGTGGTAGGTGATGCCCACACTGTGGTGGGTGATGCCCACACTGTGGTAGGTGATGCCCACACTGTGGTAGGTGGTGCCCACACTGTGGTAGGTGATGCCCACACTGTGGTGGGTGATGCCCACACTGTGGTAGGTGCCCACACTGCCCACACTGTGGTAGGTGATGCCCACACTGTGGTAGGTGATGCCCACACTGTGGTAGGTGATGCCCACACTGTGGTAGGTGATGCCCACACTGTGGTAGGTGATGCCCACACTGTGGTAGGTGATGCCCACACTGTGGTGGTGATGCCCACACTGTGGTAGGTGATGCCACACTGTGGTAGGTGATGCCCACACTGTGGTGGGTGATGCCCACACTGTGGTAGGTGATGCCCACACTGTGGTGGGTGATGCCCACACTGTGGTAGGTGATGCCCACACTGTGGTGGGTGATGCCCACACTGTGGTAGGTGATGCCCACACTGTGGTGGGTGATGCCCACACTGTGGTAGGTGATGCCCACACTGTGGTAGGTGATGCCCACACTGTGGTGGTGATGCCCACACTGTGGTAGGTGATGCCCACACTGTGGTAGGGTGATGCCCACACTGTGGTGGGTGACACTGTGGTAGGTGATGCCCACACTGTGGTAGGTGATGCCCACACTGTGGTGGGTGATGCCCACACTGTGGTGGGTGATGCCCACACTGTGGTGGGTGATGCCCACACTGTGGTAGGTGATGCCCACACTGTGGTGGGTGATGCCCACACTGTGGTGGGTGATGCCCACACTGTGGTGGGTGATGCCCACACTGTGGTGGGTGATGCCCACACTGTGGTGGGTGATGCCCACACTGTGGTAGGTGATGCCCACACTGTGGTGGGTGATGCCCACACTGTGGTGGGTGATGCCCACACTGTGGTGGGTGATGCCCACACTGTGGTAGGTGATGCCCACACTGTGGTAGGGTGATGCCCACACTGTGGTGGGTGATGCCCACACTGTGGTGGGTGATGCCCACACTGTGGTAGGTGATGCCCACACTGTGGTAGGTGATGCCCACACTGTGGTAGGTGATGCCCACACTGTGGTGGGTGATGCCCACACTGTGGTAGGTGATGCCCACACTGTGGTGGGTGATGCCCACACTGTGGTGGGTGATGCCCACACTGTGGTGGGTGATGCCCACACTGTGGTGGGTGATGCCCACACTGTGGTAGGTGATGCCCACACTGTGGTGGGTGATGCCCACACTGTGGTAGGTGATGCCCACACTGTGGTGGGTGATGCCCACACTGTGGTAGGTGATGCCCACACTGTGGTGGGTGATGCCCACACTGTGGTGGGTGATGCCCACACTGTGGTGGGTGATGCCCACACTGTGGTGGGTGATGCCCACACTGTGGTGGGTGATGCCCACACTGTGGTGGGTGATGCCCACACTGTGGTAGGTGATGCCCACACTGTGGTAGGTGATGCCCACACTGTGGTGGGTGATGCCCACACTGTGGTAGGTGATGCCCACACTGTGGTGGGTGATGCCCACACTGTGGTAGGTGATGCCCACACTGTGGTGGGTGATGCCCACACTGTGGTAGGTGATGCCCACACTGTGGTGGGTGATGCCCACACTGTGGTGGGTGATGCCCACACTGTGGTAGGTGATGCCCACACTGTGGTGGGTGATGCCCACACTGTGGTAGGTGATGCCCACACTGTGGTGGGTGATGCCCACACTGTGGTGGGTGATGCCCACACTGTGGTGGGTGATGCCCACACTGTGGTAGGTGATGCCCACACTGTGGTGGGTGATGCCCACACTGTGGTGGGTGATGCCCACACTGTGGTAGGTGATGCCCACACTGTGGTGGGTGATGCCCACACTGTGGTGGGTGATGCCCACACTGTGGTGGGTGATGCCCACACTGTGGTAGGTGATGCCCACACTGTGGTAGGTGATGCCCACACTGTGGTGGGTGATGCCCACACTGTGGTAGGTGATGCCCACACTGTGGTGGGTGATGCCCACACTGTGGTAGGTGATGCCCACACTGTGGTGGGTGATGCCCACACTGTGGTAGGTGATGCCCACACTGTGGTAGGTGATGCCCACACTGTGGTGGGTGATGCCCACACTGTGGTAGGTGATGCCCACACTGTGGTGGGTGATGCCCACACTGTGGTGGGTGATGCCCACACTGTGGTAGGTGATGCCCACACTGTGGTGGGTGATGCCCACACTGTGGTAGGTGATGCCCACACTGTGGTGGGTGATGCCCACACTGTGGTGGGTGATGCCCACACTGTGGTGGGTGATGCCCACACTGTGGTAGGTGTGATGCCCACACTGTGGTGGGTGATGCCCACACTGTGGTGGGTGATGCCCACACTGTGGTGGGTGATGCCCACACTGTGGTGGGTGATGCCCACACTGTGGTGGGTGATGCCCACACTGTGGTGGGTGATGCCCACACTGTGGTAGGTGATGCCCACACTGTGGTGGGTGATGCCCACACTGTGGTGGGTGATGCCCACACTGTGGTGGGTGATGCCCACACTGTGGTGGGTGATGCCCACACTGTGGTGGGTGATGCCCACACTGTGGTGGGTGATGCCCACACTGTGGTGGGTGATGCCCACACTGTGGTAGGTGATGCCCACACTGTGGTGGGTGATGCCCACACTGTGGTAGGTGATGCCCACACTGTGGTGGGTGATGCCCACACTGTGGTAGGTGATGCCCACACTGTGGTGGGTGATGCCCACACTGTGGTAGGTGATGCCCACACTGTGGTGGGTGATGCCCACACTGTGGTAGGTGATGCCCACACTGTGGTGGGTGATGCCCACACTGTGGTAGGTGATGCCCACACTGTGGTGGGTGATGCCCACACTGTGGTAGGTGATGCCCACACTGTGGTGGGTGATGCCCACACTGTGGTAGGTGATGCCCACACTGTGGTGGGTGATGCCCACACTGTGGTGATGGTGATGCCCACACTGTGGTAGGTGATGCCCACACTGTGGTGGGTGATGCCCACACTGTGGTGGGTGATGCCCACACTGTGGTGGGTGATGCCCACACTGTGGTGGGTGATGCCCACACTGTGGTAGGTGATGCCCACACTGTGGTGGGTGCCCACACTGTGGTAGGTGATGCCCACACTGTGGTGGGTGATGCCCACACTGTGGTGGGTGATGCCCACACTGTGGTGGTGGTGATGCCCACACTGTGGTGGGTGATGCCCACACTGTGGTGGGTGATGCCCACACTGTGGTGGGTGATGCCCACACTGTGGTGGGTGATGCCCACACTGTGGTGGGTGATGCCCACACTGTGGTGGGTGATGCCCACACTGTGGTGGGTGATGCCCACACTGTGGTGGGTGATGCCCACACTGTGGTGGGTGATGCCCACACTGTGGTGGGTGATGCCCACACTGTGGTGGGTGATGCCCACACTGTGGTGGGTGATGCCCACACTGTGGTGGGTGATGCCCACACTGTGGTGGGTGATGCCCACATGCCCACACTGTGGTGGGTGATGCCCACACTGTGGTGGGTGATGCCCACACTGTGGTAGGTGATGCCCACACTGTGGTAGACCATTCCTTCAGTTTGTTTAGGTCATCTTGTAGCCTCATACTATCCTCCTCTCTCTGGATCCTTATTATTTTTGCATCATCAGCAAACATCGAGAGGAACGAGTCAATTCCTTCTGGGAGATCATTTATGTATATCAGAAACAGTATAGGTCCAAGGACTGATCCCTGCGGGACTCCACTGTGACTCCCCACCACTTTGAGACCTCACCCTTCACGGTGATTCGCTGTGTTCTGTTGCTTAGGTACTCCCTTATCCAGTGGAGTCCCTTCCCTTTCACTCCTGCCTGCATCTCCAGTTTGTACACTAGTCTCTTATGTGGTACAGTGTCAAAAGCTTTCTGGCAGTCCAGAAATATGTAGTCTGCCTGGCCCTCTCTTGCCTGATTTTTGTTGCCTGGTTATAGAACTCAATTATACCTGTTAGGCATGATTTGCCATCCCTGAACCCATGTTGATGTTGTGTTACAAAGTTCCTCCGCTCCAGATGTTCCACTAGTTTTTTCACACAATCTTCTCCATCATCTTGCATGGAATGCATGTTAGGGACACTGTGGCCTGTAGTTCAGTGCCTCCTGCCTATCACCCTTCTTGTATATTGGGACTACATTCGCCGTCTTCCAAATTTTTGGCAGTTCATCTGTTACTAGGGATTTGTTGTACACCATGGAGAGTGGCCGGCACAGAGCTTCTGCTCCTTCCTTTAGAATCCATGGTGAGCTTCCATCCGGGCCTATAGCCTTTGTCACGTCAAAATCTAGCAGATG